TCAGTGGCTTTCCAAGCAGTTGCCTCCTGCTGTGCTGGAGCTGTCATGCATTTACAGGAAACCAACCTGTGTGTGGGAGAGGAGCAGAGCAGCTGTGTTTGTGTGACGGTGTCTGAGAAATGAACTCTTGAGACCCGTCTGCCTCCCTGCCCTCATGACACCTGTGTCCTTTACCCAACCCTTCATGAGAGCCCCCTCCATATGTCTTATACCTGCTGTTTTTAAATATCCTTGCAGTATTCCTAGAAGGATGCCACATAGCACCTGCTGCTATCCAGGATATCCTTTCTCCTTGTCATTCTTTTGAAGAACTGACAGTTGGTAATAGGGATCCAGCCTCCAAATAACCAGGGGGAAAAAGCAGTTCCAGGCCACAGCTGTTACCACTCCTGGGTTATCTGTGATACAGTGCAGTTAGTGCTGCTTGCTTTGCATAAATGTTAGTTGGAACAGGACAGGTATCCATGTGTCGTCTCTCCCAGGTAAGAGTTTTGATCATCAAGCTAGATAATTATTAAATGGTTACTCAATACAACATGGATCAGTTCCAGTGGGATCAAGGGACATCTGTTCTAGCAGGGCTGGAATGCTTGCTTGAGAGATGTGACACTGGTTCATCTTCTCTGCTTGTACCTGTGTACTGCCCAACTGAAATACTCCATTACAGTTTGATTTAATAGAACAAATAATTTCCCCTTTGAATTACAGGGGAATATGATAGAGATCTGAAGGGAACGTTAAAGCAATATTAAAGATTTCAGTAGTGTAGACAGAAATAGCACATGGAACCCAGTGATGCGAAGAAACTTGTTGCACATGGGGTGGGGTGCCTTTGGGGGCAGGATCCTCCCTTTCCGCTGTAGTATTTCATGAAGCACATGAAAGAGATCATGAAAATGGTATGGGTTCCTTAGCTGGGCTGTCCAGATGAAGTTAGCAAGCAGTGTAATCTGTTGAAATGGAGAGGACAGGAGAGCATACTGTCACTTTTGAGAATCAGATGCTAAAAATCAGTGTAAAAATTCAGCTGTCATAGGCAGTCTAACAGAGCTATCTATATACTCTTTGAGGACTACAGAAACCCTGTATTTAAAGCGGAGATAAGCCAGTATATGCTTCAAGAAGAACATACACTTGCATTTTGACTAACAATGTCTGTGCAGTCACACATGCACAGCTACTACAACTGGCCCTGCCAATCTGGTATTTGCACAGTAACATCTTGTTAGCTGTATATTCAGTTTAATTGCTGAACCAAATTGATAATTCAATCAGAATCTAAGTCTTAATGTAGTTTTCAAAAGTTGCTTTAAGAGTTGAAATCAGGAAAATACTAAACACAAAGGTTAGACAGGTATGTATATATTTAGCTATGCAGATACCAGAAAGAGTTGATGGTACCTTTCTACTCTGAAATCCAAAATTGGTTTCCTGATAGGTGTAGGTGTACTCATACATCACTTGTTCTAAGCGAGAAGACTTCTCAGTGAGAGAATGTTAGTTTTGAATAACATTCAAGCCAAACTTGATAGGCTTTTCTCTGAATTTTACTATATTACACAGCAGCTGCCTCTTGTTCTGGCTCCCTTAGTACGAACAAAAATTTGAAATTTATCTAGGCAGAATTTTAACCTTTATAATGATACCCTAGGAGAGGGTAAACCAGCAGCTCAGACTGCTGAGAGAAACAAACAAGACCCGTAAACAGATGATGAACTTGAACCCGTGGGTTTAGAAAGACTAGTGACACACAGCAGCTTGTTTACGAGCACCTCACCATTTCCATTCATCAGGTAGCCACTGGAGTGCAGTCATCTGTCTCTTGTGCTGTTACTGCTGCAAGCCATAATCCTTGGATTGGATGCTGCTGTTAACACTGCTTACCACTAGCTTCAACTGCTTGCTGTCCCAGCAGGTCCTCTTGAGGATGGGCAAGGAGGATGTTGTACACTAATCATGTGATACTGCATGTGTGTGACAGAGCAGCGAGCTGCACTGCTGCAGTGGAATCTGATCTTGGAGTAGGATTGTTTCATACCAGTTAGATACTGTAATGTGATAAGAAATCAGCACTTGACTCATCACTGGAGCCATAGGTAGATGTTTCAGGAACTTAGAAGAACCCTGTTGCCCTTCCCCTTTTCTCTCCCATACTTCTCTCCTAGGCATTTAGGAGGTCATCCTGTGAGATGGGAAGTGAAGGGGAGCAGCTGTTGGCCTTGCCAGGGCCATGTCCTGGCAGCAGCTGTGCTGGAGTCCTTCTTGTGCAACCAGTAGGGTCAGGAGCAGGCTGACTGCGGCAGCGGGAGAATGTGAGACAGGTGAGAGGGTGTCCCAGGCCTGTTTGCTGGAAAGAAGAGTGAGCAATAACTGCTGCAGGAGCTACAGCAGGGGAATGTCTTTTGTGGACAAGTCAGCTGTGGCTGCTGTCTTCCTATGGGTGGCAACAGTCCTCTGGTTTTGCAGTGTAGTGATTCTCACATTGCCATCACCCTACATTTCAGTGCCACCTGCTCGTTACAGTACTTTTAACAAGTTTAGCTTGTCTTACCTTGCTTGTGGTAAAGGGGATCCTTTAATGCCACTCAGTCACAGCTTTCACAGCACACTACCTTTTTGCATAGAGTGATTTTTTTCTACTTGGTGAGATCTTAAAACAGCCATTGATGTGGACATTATCTTCAGGAGCAAGTGCTGTTAAGATGCTCGAGGGAGGTGGACAGTCTGAGCACCCTCACTCCAGAGAAGAGAGACCAGGGAGGAATATGTCTGTGCATACACCCAAAGGGATGGTCTGAAGAGGACAAGGATCAAGTAGTCCTGTTGGTCAAGAGTCAGGCTGTTAATAGGTTTAAACTGCAGAAGGAAAACTCCAGTCTGAAAATTAAGAAAATTATATAACTGGAGGAAAAGTTAGACAGTGGAACCTGTTGCCAAGACAGAGGTTGTGAAACTGGAGATATTCAAGGCTAGGCTAGACACCCATCCATCAGGGATGGCTTTGGAATAACTGAGTAAAGCCAGTGAACAATACAGCTTGACTAGATGACCCAGTAACAGTCCTTTCCAATCCAAATACATTCGAGAGGTTTCTGAAATGCAGTTGGCAGCTTGTCCACTTCCAGCACAGTTGTGATGTGTTATTGCCAGATGTACCATCAGTCCCTTATGCTAAAAGCTAGTGATGTATAAGGTTGTAGCTGAAGCCAGCACCTTTAATAGCTTTTTGTTGTTGTTGTTCCTACTAGGTTCACCTTGCCCGTAATCCATGTGAAGACCTGTTGGAAACACCTTCTAGAAACATAATCATTTTCAGTCTCCTAATAATTCTGTTGTGTCCAAGAAGAGCCTGTCCAAATGAGCAAGACATCCCAACAGAACACCACTACAGATGCGAACGGAGTAAGCGTGATTCACACCCAAGCACACACCAGTGGTTTGCAGCAGGTTCCCCAGCTGGTGCCTGTTAGTCCTGGTGGTGGAGGCAAAGCTGTGCCTCCGAGCAAACAGGGAAAGAAAAATTCTTTTGTGGATAGGAACAGTGATGAGTATCGTAAGCGCAGAGAGCGAAACAACATGGCGGTGAAAAAGAGCCGGTTAAAAAGCAAGCAGAAAGCACAAGACACGCTGCAGAGGGTCAACCAGCTCAAAGAAGAAAATGAACGTTTAGAGGCAAAAATTAAGCTCCTCACCAAGGAGCTGAGCGTACTGAAAGACTTGTTCCTCGAGCACGCACACAGCCTTGCAGACAATGTGCAACCTGTTGGCACTGAAACCACCACAACAAATCCAGAAAATGATGGACAGTAGACACTGTTGCAACATTATGAAATGAACTCTCGAGGTGCAGCTTGTCTGCAATGCCCCTGCAGTAACCAAGCAAAAACTCCATTCTTTTAACTATCATTTTGTGGCGATTTTCTTCTTTTTAGGTTTAACACTGAAGATTTGATGCAAACCAGAAACTGCTTACGGTATTCATTTTGAAGTAATTTGCTCCTCTAAAAGATGTATCTGATAAATACAGATCTAAATTCATAGCCAACAAGGAGGTTAGTATTAGGGAAATAGCATTTTCACAGAAATGTTCACTTAACCTTCTTACAGTTTGCATAATGGGAGGAATCCAGCAGAATGGTTCACTGTAGTATCAGGAACTCATAATTGGATAAAATGTATTTTAAATACCTTTAAGTAAGTGTATTTAGGACCTTTGTTTTCCCCATTACATATTGCAGAACTGAAAAGTCCGTGGAGGGTGTTTGGTTTCCTACGTGGTGGACCACTTCAAATCTGTAAAGCAAGTCCTGTAAAGCACCACTTGGTCTTTTCTGCCCTCTTATAGTTAATGGGGAGGGTGTGTAGTAATAGTGAGCTGGGACGATGATGTTTTCTAGAAAAATAGCAATATATTATGATGATATATACAGGCAGTTGGCTTCCAAATGGCAAGTGGGTCTGAAGCATCATGTGTAAGAGGTAAAGCAGCAGAGTAACAAAGCCTAATTCTAAGCCTGTGTTCACATTGCTCACACACTCACTGGGGCCTTTTCAGAACAAGATTCTGGTTTTCACAAAATGTCAAAATGCTACCAGAAAACTGCTCTGGAAAGTAGCATTCTTGCTGGGGTGCAGGTATTGGGAAGAACAAAATGTGTGGCTTGGGTAAAAAATGAAAGGGGTAAGACAGCATCTGTTCAGCCGGAATGATTCACTGCTTGTTGACATTCATCTCCACTTCAATAGCTGCTCCGATTTACAACCAAAATCTTGTATTTGGAGTGGTTTTAAAATTAAATGGCCCTAGTTTGAAGAACTGATTCAGTGGAATTCCTATAGCCATCATACAGTTGTGTGAAGGAGTATCTTCAGTCTTGTTTTATTTTCATAAAAGTTTTTCTATAGCAACTTTTTTAATGCTAGTGCTAAGTCTTTGCCATGATCCATAATGGAGTGGTATGTTCTATACTGAGGATCTGAAGAATACAAGTAAAGCAGGAACTTTAATTTATTTTTGTTTTAAAGTATTTCATTGATGGTATGGTTGTGTTACATTTAACCTGTGTGTCTGGCTAGTGGATTATTACACTGTCTTAATTTCCCTCCTATACTACCTTTTTCTAGAGATTATTTTGTAGGATGCTTGTTTGCCTTGTATCTGTACTTAGGAAGAGAACTTGGATATTATTTCATAAAGACGCTGTTAGAAAATGAAATCTTGACAGTTTTATTTTGAATTTAAAACTTTTAATACATGTGGAAGACTTTTATGGATTGTTTGTTAGTCTTTTTACAAAGATATGGTTGGTTGTTTTTTTTTTGTTTTTTTTTTTGTTGTTGTTTCTAGCTGCAGCTTAATAGGTAGAGTTGAAATATCAGAAGCTAATAAAACCCTTTTGCTTCAAGTGCTGGCCTCATTTTTCCTGTCCCTCTGGTATTTTCCTCAAATGCAGAGGTGCTTACCTCAAGCAGCTGTCATTGAGAAATCAGTGCAACAGTGTCCATTTCTGCCTTCCACACAGGTTTTTACTGAATGGAAAGAATCAAAACCTTACTACACTTTTGGCTGAATTCCTGATTTAAAACAATGACAACACCACACCAAAAAAACAAAACCAAAAGAAATTTAAGACTGAAAATGTACTGCAATTAAAAGGGGGAGGAACAGAACACCAAAAACTACAAGGAAAAAAGATGATGTGAAAGCACCTTATTTGTTAACTGTCTACCTACTCTGATGCAAAGGGCAGGAGCTTGTCAGTTGTCAGCTCTGTGAATTGGGATTATGTGGCCTTGTTGAGTGGCTGGTGTTGGATCTTCCCCTAATAACCACAACAGGGACTCCAAATGATTTCTTAAATATCTTTGAGTAGGAGTAATAATCTTTCTGATGCACTGGAGGGTGCCTTCTCCACCTGTTACTCCTGACAGCTCTGATTCCACTTCCTTCTTGTCTAAAATAAAACCACTGAGTTAGTTATGAAAAGTCGTTTGTTTGCACAGTGGCATTTCTGGCTTGGCAGTCTCCACACTTGCTTTGATTGCCTAGGGAAGCGTGTAGGCTGTGTGCAGCGTATCACTTTAATACGTGAAGTCAGGAACCCAAGATTATAACAAATTATTATATTAAATCTATCCTCAGTGAGAGTTTGGTTGGAAGGAAAATGTCAGTCTATTATTCTAAGCTCCCTCCTGCCAAAAAGGGGAGATTTAGATTAGCTGTTAGGAAGAAATTCTTTGCTATGAAGGTGATAAAACACTGGCACAGGCTGGCCAGAGAAGCTGTGGCTGCCCCATCCCTGGCAGTGTTCAAGGCCAGGTTGGACACAGGGGCTTGGAGCAACCTGCTCTAGTGGAAGGTGGCCCTGACTGTGGCAGGGGGTTGGAACTAAATGAGCTATAAGGTCCTTTCCAACCCAAACCAGCCTATGAGACCAGTCTGTCTCAGACCTCTGAGACGCAAAGGCAGAGGTGAGGCTTTCCAGCTCTGCCCCAGGGTGGAGCAGCCCAGGCTGTGTGACAGCAAAATGCCACTGCAGAACACAGAACACCCATGGCAGGTGACTTGGATGACTCCTTCCTAAAACCATGAAAATTTAATCTACAGAAGAAAATTACAACATAGGCCTATAAAAGTTCAGGTTTTTGTTTTTGACACATTTTTCTTAACAGCTATAGTCTGTGGCAGAATACAGTGCTTGTCACTAGAAGAAGGAGCACCATACATTTTACCAGGCAACATTCCCATTTTTTTGCTACTCTGGACTCCACAAGCACTAGGAGGCTCTACCACTTTAATTATACCCTGCAGATAAATCTCGAGTGCCTCCAACCCCAGGGAGCTGACACAGTTTAAACAGACAGGTTCAGGAGCACTCAGCCCTCTCTAAACACAGCAACTTGCTCAATGTAACACACTTATTCTGGTGCCACTTTGAGTCTGTTTGCACCAAGGGGAAAAGCATTTGGGAAAACACAACTAACAAACAGCCTAAAATATCCTAATGTAGTCAAAAAGAGAGTTTGCCATAACCTGTATTTCCCCCCCCCACTAATACATTTAAAGTGTATTAAATACCACTTTGCCATTATTAAAAGGTTTAATTCCATGCATCACACACACAATTTAGAAAAAAGTTCTAATTCACTTTTTTCTTAAGTGGATAAAAATTACCATAATTACAGAACAGACTTCTGGAAGGAAGGATGAAATCCATATTCACCAAGTTCACGGGCCTGATAATGAAGGAAAATGGGAGACAGTGCACCATCCCAGCCCCAAATGCACCCATGTCTCCGGCAAGCAAACAACAGAGCAGCTGTTTGCGTGAGCAAGTGCGCTCCCCACAACTCACTCGTGGCAGGGTTTGTTCGCTGGTACATGTCGAAGCAGAACCAGTTCTGCCTCCCGCAGCATGCCAGATTGCTCGACCTGTTCTGCAGCAGCAGAGGCCAATATTTGCCAAGATTAATCACAGGCAGGGAAAGGCCTATTAACTAGACTGGGGTTACAGCTTTGTTGAAACAATTCCAAAACTCCTTTTTTTTTTTTTTTCTTTTAAATCTCTGAGGTGTTACTTGGAAATTGAACCCAAGCAACACCAGGTTTCAGAGTGCCCAAAGCAGTGAGTGATCCCACAGGTGTGTTCAGAGCAGGAAAACACTTGGAAGAGGGCTGAGGCCATGAGCACTGTCTTGCACTGGAAAAACCCCAGTTTTAGGGGCAGACAACTCTGAAGCAGTGCTAGTGTAGCTTCTACATTTGTGAATCTGCAAAGCTATCAAAGCAAAGCCTGATGTCCTCTGCACAAGTACTGCATTTCAGAGGCATGACACTTGATCACAGAAGGAAGCATTAGTGCAGTTACAAATACAAGCTACAAATCCCACACCCTCCTCTTCTTGCCCCTTCCCCTTAGCAATCAAGACCTCCTGCACTTACCTCTTACAAACCAGTGCCCAGCAACCTTTAAAAAAATGTAAATGGGCTCCTTTGTTAATAAAGTGACAAGATGTGAGCAACAGAACTGCAACGCCAAGGTAATCAAGTCAACCTTCACAATGATGGGGAAAACTCTCATCTGGCAAGTGGTATGACCCTGAAAGCCCCCAACATCCTGCTGTGATTTCAGTCCCCCCTTGCATGGCAGACGGACGTTCTGAAGCAGCTTTGCACTCAAACTGGGCAACAGAGCCTGAAGACCAAACAGTAGTTTGATGTGTTCATAAAGTGACCAAGATTATTTTTATGTAGTTACAGCAACTAGTGCTATTCTATGATGCAAGAAATATATTTATTCTCCTGCAGGCTGATGAACACCTACAGTAAAGAAAGGTCTCTTTGGGTAATTTAAACCTTGCATGAATGGAAATTCAAGTTATGATCTTTATTACTATATTTGTGGTGTATCCAAATAAAGCTGACATGATTTCATTGTGAGCCGGCTAACACTGGATAGTTAAAAATACCCTATCCTTCTGCACAGCATATGCTGCTGAATGACCCTGAGCCCTGCAGCAAAGATTCTCCCTTGTTATTTCTAAGGCTTGTCAATACCACAGCAATCAACATTTTTAAGGAACAAATAGATGGACAAATCTAATAAGCACTGGGCTGTGCGTTAAGGATCAGTACGCCCACTACCCAGAGCAGACAGATCTAGCTAACGACGGGTCAAAGTTTCCAGAGCACAAATTGGTAGAAAGGTCAGATAAAGAAGCAGGAACTGGAGCAGAAGAGCATAATGATCACAAGGTTGTGAGCATAGATGATGCCAAGGGTAATTTTAATAAAAATTTGATTCTGTGTACTCCACTGACACCGAAACAAGATCTGTAAGAAAACTGTGTCATGTTCTCCGAGAACAGATGTTTTTTCTTCTATGATTTTCACAGTACCTGTGATGAAGTTCAAAAAAGGCCTTAGATTGTTACAACTGCTGACAGCATTCAGACAATTAAAGAGTCCCAATCACCAGAATTCAGATTTAATTGCAAGATATGTCTGAGCTGGGATCTGACAGAAATATAAGTCCCACTGTTAATGCAGTAGGGCTACTCAGGTGGTACTTGGCAATGTAAACTGCTGATAGGAAGCAGCAGTATTTGAGTTACTTGCATATCAAGTGCTGAAGCCTTCTACCTTCATTTTTAATGAATGATCATTCCAGCTAATAGCCTGCCTGCCTCTCTTGCTATTAAAAATTTGGTGTGTTTTACTGTATATGCTGCAGCATTAAATCAGAATGAGTGATTAGCTTAGACAGTATCATCCTGAAGTTACTGTTCTTGGCTGGAGAGGCACTCAAAATGACTTGGCACTGCTTTGGTCTTCTGCCATGAAAGCCTCTATTTCTTCAACAGTACGTGGGACACAGGTTAGCAGCTCCATTCCACTGGCTGTCACTGCGATGTCGTCCTCGATCCGGACCTGTTATAGAGAGCACGCAGTTACCAAAGTGTTCCAGCTGGGGATGAGAAGCAGATCAGGCACCAGTGAGAGCACAAGGCAAGTTTCAGGTGGTGGAAGCAATAGCAGGCAGAGCAATACTGGAATTGTCCATCACCCCTGGCACAGAGCATCCGATCACCCTTGGGCCATCAGCTCCTGCCATCCTCCTGGGATCACACAAGCTCCACGGTGATCCCCAGCAGAGCAGCTGAACCAGAGGTGACAGCCCTGCAGGTGACTCAGGTGGTGCCTCTGCTATGTTGGGTGCACATGAACAGGCTGAGTGAGATGCTGCACCAGTGAGCTCATGGTACCTAATTACACAGGGCCAGTAATTCCAACCCCCTGACATGGGGAGCAGCAAAAGGAATATTCTCCCCTAAAATTTGCCTCCAACCTTGCTAGTGCATGGCTTGCAAGGGACAGGCTCAACAGCAGCACCTCCTGATGCCAAAGTGCCTGTTCTCAATGCAGCCCTGCTGCTGAGCTGCAGTACGTGCTCTTTGCACTTTAACATCATATTCTCTTTTCTCTAAACACAATAAACTTTCAAAAGAGGAACTACAACATGAAATATCTTGCAGCTGATACTCAAAACACCGAATTCTGAGCTGACATAAAAGTCCTAAGCATGTCAGACATTCCTTTTAAAATACAATCACTACATTTGAAATCATGCAAGGAAAAAGCAGATCCTCTCAGCTTTCCAGCTCTTGTTCTGTTAAAATGAAAAGTATGCTCCATTTCTGTTTGACTCTAATCTCTTCTTACCAGTAAATATGCCTACACAGTCATTTCCCATTATCTTATCAGAAAAATGTTAGTAAGTCACTAAGCTGCAATAAAAGCAATTTTAGTAAGGTGTAAATCCAAGAGAACACAAACTCTGGGTACTCCCACCTTACAGTTGCTTTAATTGTTTCTGACCTCTTGACATTTTCAACTAAAAATAAAGTTGGTTAACATTTGTACTTCTGATTGCAAAATAATCCATTTGTTCAAACAAAATGAGTCATCCAGTCCTTATTAATCTGTTTAATGATGTCTTTGCCAAATTGTTTCCTTTACTTGGTATCAAGTTAAGGGTATTATAAAGCAGAATTAAATAAACAAACTCCACTGAGTTTGCACATTTGATTTGGACAGCTGTAAATTTGAAAGCTGCAAGGCTCTTGACACTTGGTGTGCCTGAAAGGCTGGTGCCTTGCTGCAGAAGAGGAAATCGACAACACATTGAATGATTTTATGCACTTGAACAGATTTTACCAGGGTGCGTTTTTTGAGTCATTGCTTCAAATTTGGCAAGCTTAGGAAAAAAATAACCTAAGGATTCAGCAAGATGGTCACATCGCATCTAAAAGTGAGCTATGTTCTCTGCCTCACAACAGCCCCCAGCATCTGGCCTGCCAGGTCTTGAGCCTAGGCACAGCCTGCCAAAAAACAGATGGTACCAGGTGAGCCCTGCAGAAGTGCCACAAACCAGGGACAGATCTGGTAACATGGTAAAAGCCAAAGCATTATGTTGGGAAGCATACCAGTTTAAATGGAGCTGGGCACCGCGCTGATGTGGAAAGTAATAGCGCAAATGTAAGTCTGAAAGCAGAGGGGAGGCCAGCCAAACCTGGAGCTGACTGCCTAAGGAGAGAGCCTCTTCTGAAGAACTGGCTTAACAAACCTCCACCTGCGTGAGTTCTACCTCTTCAGTGTATTTGCTAGAGAATAGTACCACCCACAGTTCATCTGCTTACCAGGTAAGATTAGCAAAAGAATTAAAAAAATGTTGGTGTTTTCTAGTTCAGTGTTTCATGCCTTCACCGATACCTCAGCACTCTTTGAAAAGACTTGAAAGCACAGCAGATGAAAGCCAGACTAAAGGGGAGGAGGAAAAACAAGTGGGATGAGGTCTCTGTCACTGCTGCATGCTATTCAAACCACAGGAGAAAATCAGTAGGGAAAAGAAAGCGAAAAACGGAGCTAGAATGATGAAAGAAGCCAGAGGGATGAAGATACAGTGAGGCGAGACAAGGTTAACAAATAAAGGATAAAGAGACATGGGGCTGGCTGAAGAGTCCAGGGAGGGAGATCCTGGTGGAGGTGAGAAGCCAGACACCCTAATGAGGAGAGTGCAGGGGTGCTTGAGCCACCTAAGCCAGGGAATGGAGAATTACCAAATG